CCCCCCCCCCCCCCCCTTTGTGGACTTTTGAGTATGGTATTTTGGGCATTAATTGGGTCATTGTTGGGTCGGTGGGAAGAGAGATTTTGGCTTGGGATGGTTTAAATGTTAAAAATAACTTAGCTAATGTGATCCTGTATTTTGAGTTATATGGAAAAAAATAAAAATAAAAATAGTAGAGTTTTTTATTGTGATAAAAATAATTTTTTTAATCTAAAAAATAGATAATTGAATTATTTTGAGTCTATTTTATTAAGTCACGATATTATTGTGATGTAAATTTTAAAAATATTCTTAAAACACTAATTTTATTATAAATTTTTTGTATATAAACAATTTACTTTTTTATTTAAAAAAAATTAACATAAAATTAAAACAATGACCAAATCAAATTAAAAAATTGTAGAGAGAAACAAAAGATATTTTGGCCATTAATTCATCTTTATAAATCAACTTTTGTAATTTTAAAAATAATATAATCATTCTTAAAAAAATTGAAGTACTCCTGGTTGGTTTTATAGTATTACAGAAAAAATCCTTTTAATGCATTTAATATACTCATGAGATCTCAAAACATGTACCTCAGAAAAATTAACTCCCCCCTGCAACCAGAAGAGAAGACGCTGAAGATCAATCCTACAAAACATACACCATACCCAGTCACCAATCATTTCACACTGCCAGATATATACGATGAGAGCACCAAAAGAAAAGATAAGGTTTCAAATTATGATATACATGTTTATTTTCACTGATAAATTTTATCTAAACTGACTAATTAATTAATTATAAGAAATAAGTTGTGGAATTAGAAATCTAAATTACCATAATTAATTGTTTCTTTTACAAAAGATATTACCCAAGTCCCCTCTATGCATCACAAACTGTACTCAGTTTTGCCATCAATGAAAGCTTGAATTGATGGTTCTCTTCCTAGAAAATCGGCAAGAAGTTCAACGGGTTCTTTGGCTCCTCCTGGAGCCAAGACCTGCAAATAGATTTTTACCACAAACCCAGGTCGAAATTTAGAAAGAAAAACAAAAATTGATATTGAGAGCATCCAAGTCGATTGAACACAAATGCAAATGAAGGAAGAATAAATTTGAACTGTTAGGTAATTTTGCTGGCGTATATTACCTTACTCCTGAACTGCATGCCAACATACTGATTCAAAATGCCGTCGCAAAATCTTGAAGCAAAAATATCAGCTGCAAAAACCTATAAATAGTATTTTGAAACATCAGTGATGTGATTCTTTTAGCCCCACGTTGGTACCAAATTTAATAATCCACATTGAAGAGTGATAGCATGATCAAATAATGACCGGAGAGGATAAAAGATGCTGCATATGATGAAAGTATAATGCAAAAAGGATGCATTTAGTTGTGGTGTGTGTTCCAGAAATTTTTTCGAAAGAATGAAAACCGCTAAAAATCAGCATGAGACTAGACAACTCAAGTTCCATTTGATAGATAGAAAATGCTTTAAAATTTTCATTTTCTATGTTCGTATATATTTCAACATACAACATGTGTAGTTGAAAATGAAAAACAATGTTTACAAAATGAGAGCAAAACCAAGCAACATATTAACATTTTAATGCATAAGCCTGTGAATAACCAAATAAAACTAGAAGATTTGAGGCAACTTTTGGTATATAAAAATGTTCTTTGGTTTTTATTTCTTAAATTCATAAATATATATATATATATTGCTAAATGTATGTTGTAATACTCAATGTAGATAAACTTCTCTAGAAAAATTAAAAGTTGATTTTAAGAAATAAAAACTAAATGAAAATATGTTATGTACCAATAGTTTCTCTACATGGGGTAGTACACATACATGTCGCAACAAACATACATATATATATATATTTTTGTATATATGAATTTAAGAAATAAAAACTAACATTTTTATATACCAAAAAAGGTGCCTCAATTTTGTAGGTTTTATTGGCTATTCACATGTTTATCCATTAAATTGTTAAAAGTTTTTTAATAGAAAAAGAACTGCATAAATGTATTTATGTATTTACGGCACCTGGAGCATAATTAAATAGTTTCCAGAGGACACTAAAAGACCTCTATTGTTTTCAAACTTATCACATATTTTTATTTTATTATCTACTTATTATTTTTCTTTTCACCCACCACATTTTTATTTATAAACACATTTGTGCATAGAAAATAAAAATTAAGAAATATTTTCATGTACTAAATTGAGCTTCCATGAATATTTTAATCTTTAATTTTCTAAATAAATTTGTTTATATAAAAACAAGTACAGTAGTATGCGCTTGCATTGCACTAAATATAAAAACAGCTTTTGTTGGTCATATTCAGTTGTATAAACCTGTTTTAATTTCTTATTTCTAAATTTATATGCACACACATATCAAAACATGTAACTATCGAAAATGATAATAACACATGAAAAATAATAGTGAAAAATGGTATGAGTTTAAAATAATTAAAAAAAATATTTCAAACTCATTTCATATTTTCGCTATCATTTTCCAAACATTGTTTTTATTTTCAGCAATTATTTATTTTTATGAATGTAAACAAATCTAAATTGAAAAAAAAAATAAAAAAAGAAAACTCAAAATACTTTTCTACAACTAATCATGGCCTTATTATTTTTAAATTCATGTCACGTTCTTAATTTGATTTTCAAAAGGTGTTTTAGTTTCAACTAGACATGTTCATGTCAAACATATATAACAAGAAAATAATAACTGAATTTTTTCATGTATGACAAAGAGCTCTGTTCTTCAACAAATATATAGAAAATGGAAATAAGTTCTTTTCTGTGTTTTTCATTAAAAGTAAAAGATAGTTTTTCTTATTAGTAACTTAACTGAGATAAATATCATTCATGCTCAATCATATGCTTTGTAAATGCATTTTCAGTTTTTTTTTTTTAACTCTGAAAAATATTCTTTTTAAAAAAGCACAAGATAAAAATATGTTTTAGACAACAAGAATAGGAAAAGAAAAATAATTCACAGCTAAACAGACCCTGAGATACTACAACACAAATCGTACCTCACTCCAAATACGGCTGTAACAAGCTGCTTCAAAGCCAATTGCAGTACGCTGGAAACATGAAGCAGGATTGGTTCCCTCTAACGCTGGAAGACCTAACATCACCTGTGGAGACATCCAAGTGAAATAGCTGGACAAATAAAACCAACTATCATAACATAATAATCATAGGGAAGTATTATACCTTTGGATGGAGATGCTTGAATAACTCAACAAAGTCAATATTTTCAGTAGAGTGTATGATTTGATCAAAAAGACCTGGTAACAGACACATTTAAAGCCAAACTTAAGATAGGGAATCTACCTACTGCAAGACTTTCCAACAGCATTTGTAAATATGTAGGATGCACACATAGCCATGGAAGTAGATATATAACACAAATGTTCTTTGCCGAAAAATCCTTAGTATGCAGCAAGATGCGTATTGCAAACAAGTTTTTGTACCATTTTATGGTGATATAATAAGCCAAGATACCCAAATTCCAACTATGTAGAATTACATATGCACATCCAAGAGGAGTTGTTAATACTTTGCAGGAACATACTTCTGTTACATGCACCAACATAATCAAAGAGGCATCTGACTCAGGAATATGGCATCCAAGAAATCGCAAGTCCTAAATCCTAACCAAGCACTAAATCATACTTCCAAATGACAAGGCATAACCTAAATGATTTAGAGCACCACAGAACCTGTAAAAAGTGGCATGTAAATCTTCAAATCAAATTCAGAAGAACAAGACACATAGTATGTTTATGCTAAACAACAATGTGATGATAACAACCGAGTATTCATCAAAAACAGTGTCTCACAGTTTCCATGGAAATTTTAATACGTGAACTCACAGTAAAGGACTTCTTGTTTCAACTTAAGTCCAGAGAAAGAATGGCGCCATCTTTTGAGTGATTTGCACACTTCATCTTTAATAGGCTTCGTAATATCCTACAAGTCATAAATATCATCGACAAAATCTTCAGAACTAATGTATTCTAAACAAACATCTGAGGGACAAGAATAAATGATATGACATTGAAGATAATGCTTACAATAATTCCTTTTCCACATTGAAAAATAAGAAAAGAATAAAACAAGTCGAATTTGTTAAAAGCAACATACATAACATACTGCTAACCTACACAGAGAGAGGAATTAAAAGTTCAGACTTAAAATGTTTCTAGAAAAAGACAGCACAATCAATTGTCACCTGATGGAAACCAGATATTAACTTCAGCGAAAAGCTCTCATAACACCTAGAATTTTGCAAAAGCATTTCCAAGTAAGTAGTAATTTGCTTCACCTGATTAAGGACAAGGTTATCTTTTACTAGGCATATTTTTAGAATACTTACCAATTCTCTAGCAGTTGAGCAGGGATCTCCACGAAATCAGGATCAACACGCAGCCCAGAAAATCTTGCAAATGATGCACGATTGGAAATATGTTGGACCTACATGCTCATTATTATTTGAGAGGAATGCCACGAGAAATTTCATCACAGATAAGAGCATTCCATATAGATATAGAAAATTCAGCACATCAATTAACCGCATCCTCTTTTGTCAAAATAATTAACTCAACATACCACATGGCCAAACTCGTGAAAAAGATTGACAACTTCAGAGAATCTCAGTAACCCAGAATCCCCACCAACATTCTTTTCAATATGAGATATCAGCAATGCCACTGGGATCTAGTTAGAGAAAACCACAGATAATAATTAAACATAAGCTTGTGGCTTTTAGGATAGCAAATTTATATGTCTACATGAGAAAGCCAGAAATCCAAATCAAGATTTAGGAAAAAGTTTATATATAAATAGAACCCAAAAACAGCCAACATAAATATAATAGAAAAACATACAAGTCATATTTTCCTAGTACTGCAAAATGATAACTTTTAATTCTCACCTGACGGGCGCCATTGAATGATAATGTCCCATTCTGTAATGCAACAACACAGGTATGACCATACTTCCCTTCCCTGTCATCCAGCAAAATGTTATTTCTTTCTAACTCATACAAGCAAACGACAAAAGAAGGGCACAGAAAATATAACAAGCAAACCTCGTGTATATATCAAGGTAAAAATAACCCAAAAGTTCACCAGAAACTAGGTCAAACACTGAAAAAACTTGAACGTCAGAATGCCAGACCTCAGCATCTGAAATTTCCTCAAGTCTAAAACCTGCATAAAGCAACAATAATCCTATGTAAAACCAATTGTGTAGAAGATGAAAATCGTATGTATGCTGTTAAAAGTATTAAGAAAATATTAAGAACGATTAGTATTTCAATAATAGATATTGTTGAATAAATAGTTTACCAAAAAGATCTTGAGATATTTTGAAGATCCCCGATAGAACCAAACTGACAGGAAAATACTGCTTAATTGCTCCAAAATCCAAATCAAATTGCTGCTCTTCAACCTTCTTTATATAGTACAAAAGATCCTGAATCCCGAATGGTACATCCCCTTCCTCTTTTCGCTGATGGCCCATTAAAGCTATATCAGTAACACATGAACCAAGCCCAGCATAGAAACATGGATAGTTATATTCAAACCTTCAAGTCCCTCAACATTGCAATTTCTCTCATGGCCAAGTCATCTAAGCTGGCAGAGATGTCCTCTAAAAACTCGAATACCTGGATGCCAACAGATAAATCAAGACATGTAGAATGATATTCAAGAATATTTTGTTAGATTTCCATCTATGTACTATTCTTAGTCCAACAAGGCAATTCACTGAACAGTTGTAATCTCCTTATTGTTTAGCCCATTTTAGCTTATATTGACAAGAGCAAGAAAGTCCATCTACATTTATCACCAAAACCTAAGCCACCCTTTACATGAATATGAGGAAATTTCTTGCATCAGTAAACAACGAAAAGCTTTTAGGTGGAAGGGCAATCTATTTCACACTTATCGCTTAGGCAGGTACAAACATATATACATTTGTGGATCCAAATGGTCAAACAAAAAACATACAACTCTAATTGTATCCACAAATTTGGTACTTTCTAATATAGAAGCAAATATACAATTGTTTGCCAGTATTCAACATCATTCATATATTTGGCAATGCTTCCAAATAAGACCTATATTTTCAACTTCATTTTTGAGGACCTTAAGTTTTCTGATGTCTCAATTCAAGCTTATCATACTTCCAGTAAAATTTACAGGAATTCACTCCCACACACTTCACAGATATTATTACTAAATTAAGTCTTCCCGTCTCACCTATATGTGAACTCTCTCTCCAAATGTAGGCTAATCTCTTCACTCTCCACCGGACTAAATAGCATATTCACAACTTAAAACCTTATCCATTCTACATCAAGAGGAAAACAAAAGTTTCTATAACTTAACCTGGTAAGTTTCTAATGTAACTTAAAAATTAGTTAAATAGACTAAGTAAGTTACAGATACTTAAAAATAATAACAATAATCAAATAAAAAGGAAAAAAAAAACTTCAACACTAATATTATTCCAAAATTAAAACTTTCTCATTATGCATCACTTAACAAACCTTTGAGGAAGTCTTTGCCATCCTATTGTCAACAGCATACTCTGCATAATTCGGGTACCCAAGCAAACGAGCTAATTTATGGCGCTGTTGAACCTATAAAGCAAAATTAGAGAAAGTTCATGATGTCATGTAACAACCTGGAAAAAAAAATAATATAAATATATATATATATATATTGAGTTCTTTTCTTTCCTTTTTTAGTTCAAGCGAAAAGAAAGAATGTATCAAATGGAGAAGAAAATCTCATTTCAATATAATCGAATGTCTTAGTGAAATTCTGGTTTTAATAGGATAAGAAGCAAGGAGACCTTTTAGAAGGAATTAGAAACCTGGCCAGCAAACCATAAAAGGGAGGGGCTTAGAAAAAAGCATGAACAGAAAGGGAAAATATAAATTTTACAAATATGGGTGATCAGCAACCAAATTCTAACAAACCAATCAGCTTAGACAAGAATTCAAAATAAGTCAGAAGTAGTGGGTAGAAGGAAGGACAGC